TAGGTAATGATAGACATAAGGGAATGTAAGTCTGCTCGTATTGCATGTGTAATGATGATAACATGCAGTTTGTGTGTTGCAGTGATGATCATATAAGGGAATTTAATTCTGCTTAGGATTTTGTCTGAATCATTGGTTGTAGTGTGCGTTACACCGTTGTCTTATTGTTCCAAAATGATTTTGCAGGGTTCAGAGAAGACGCTGGATGCCCCTGGGATTGTAGATGATTCATACTTGAATGTACTCGACTGGAGCAGCAATAATGTTCTTGCAATTGCTCTAGGAAACACAGTGTACCTATGGAGTGCTTCTGATGCATCCGTTGAAGAACTTGTCACAGTTGATGACGAAGCTGGCCCCATTACAAGCATCAGTTGGGCTCCTGATGGGCAGCATGTTGCTGTTGGCTTGAACAATTCCAATGTTCAATTGTGGGATTCCATCTCTGTTAAACTGGTAAGAACATTGTTATTGCTTATTCTACTGTTAAACAAAACTTTGTTGCTAAATTTACTACTCATTATGCAGTTGCGAGTGTTGAGAGATGGTCACCAACAAAGAGTGGGTTCACTGGCCTGGAATAAGCACATACTTACCACAGGTGGTGGGGATAGTAGAATAATCGACAATGACCTTAGAGTGAGATCTCATATAGTTGAAACCTACATCGGTCACCATCAGGAAGTTTGTGGATTGAAATGGTCAGCGTCGGGCCAACAATTAGCTAGTGGAGGGAACGACAATCTTCTCTTTATATGGGATAGGTCGGCAACCTCTTCAACTTCATCACACCAGTGGCTTCACAGGCTTCAAAACCATTCTGCAGCAGTCAAGGCCCTTGCTTGGTGTCCATTCCAAGGGAATTTGCTGGCCTCTGGTGGAGGTGAAGGTGACCAGTGCATTAAGTTCTGGAATGCACACACAGGCGTGTGCTTGAACTCAGTTGAAACTGGCTCGCAAGTGTGTGGTCTGGTGTGGAGCAAGAATGAGCGTGAATTGCTTAGTTCTCACGGTTTTAGCCGGAATCACCTGGTCCTTTGGAAATACCCTTCGATGGTGAGGATGGCAGAGCTCTGTGGCCATACATCCAGAATTCTCTTTATGACTCAGGTAATAATTTCAGAAAACTTTAACTTTTGATAAGTTGAACGGTGTTAATGAAAAAGGCTAGGTCACAACTTGATATTGTAGTTTCTAACCGTGTTATTTATGCTTTCAGAGCCCAGATGGATGCGCTGTGGCCACTGCAGCCGCGGATGAGACTCTTCGGTTTTGGAATGTGTTTGGGATTCCTGAGGTTGCTAAACCTCCACGAGAAGAAACTTCAATGCCATTTGTTGATTACTGCATACGTTGAAGATCAGGAAAAGCGACTGCGGCTTTAAGGTGGTTCATATGTTGAAGCTGACCTCTGTTGTTGGGAGTCTTGGGACAATCTGCAACAGGAGAAGAAAGTGCAGTGCTATTTGCTTATTGCTGCATTCGTGGAAGATCATGACAAGTGCCTCTCTAAGTTGACCTCTCTTCAGATGCTCTCCCATTAATCTTCTCTCTTTTAGCTAGACTTGATTTCTCCTGAGGTTAGACCTTGTTTTCGTGGTGGATTCCAAAACTGAACAGATAGAGTATATGTTTTTTACTGTAAGTTTGTAACAGGGAAAAGAAAAAGAAAGAGAAGCGTTGATGCAAATGTGTATTATTTACTGTATATGGTTACAAGAAATAAAGCAGTTTGATATAAATTCTTCTTTCTATTCTTTTGCTATTTTGTAAGATGAAGGAGAACCTTGACCTCATGGTGGCGGTGTGATGCGAGAATTATACGCACACAAATTAAACCCTCTTTTTGACAATTGTAGTATAGATATAAGTAGGGATCGTTCTGGACCGGGGATTAGGAGGGCTTTTTAACCACTTGGATTTGACTTCAAAAACGTAAAAACAAGTTTAAAACACTATACGAAACTCGAAGAATGCAAAATTCAAAATAAGATGGATTAAGACTAAAATTTTAACGAAATAGGGGGGAATTGGATTTGGACGAATCTAAAATAAATACTTGGAAACAAAACAAATTGTGAATATGGATTTGACGGAAATGAATGGATGGGAAGCTAGCTAAGGGGTTCATCGCCACACATGTTATACTTGCATACAAAACGATTTCTAATTACTTTTCAATAAACCATGAATTCTCAACGCCCCGGGTTAATTAGGTCCGCTTAAATTAACCGTCAAGTTTTCCTTAAGTTAATGAATTGGATGATTGCATACGACAATCCAAAGCATTCCTCACAAGTTCCCTACATGAATTGCATAATAGAGATACAAGCAAGAATCATTAAGCATCATGAAAACTATAAGTGTTGACGAGGCATTCGTTACTATGATTGCATGAAACTTATGCCAAGAATATGTTTAACGCGATTGTTTATAAGCAACCTCCACTACTTGTGAATATAAGTTCATAACTATTACGTGAAACTCACTTATATTCTAGCGTCAAATTCATGCATGAAAATTAAGCGTTCATTCTTAATAAACATACATAAATAGGTTATCAATCAAACAGTTAAACAAATTGAATTCATAACTTATGAAACGTAATTAAAAGTAATCAAATCATATTACAAACATAAACATAGTTTCGAATCACCCCCTAGCTAAAGGGGGTTTAGTTCCTCATAACTTTGAAATCAAAGAAACACCTAAACATTCCAACAACTCAAAACTTGAATTGTATGAACGTTTAAGCACTCTTTTCTTCCATTTCTCATACGTACAAAACAAAGAGAATTAAAATGAAACTTTGAAATCAAAGAAACACCTAAACATTCCAACAACTCAAAACTTGAATTGTATGAACGTTTAGGCACTCTTCTCTTCCTCGTTGTTGTAGCACAAGGTTTAAGGATAGGTTGGTTGGGGGGATGGAAGTGTTGGGGAATTATGGAAATGGATGAGGATTGGTGGAAATGGAAGATGGTTTTTGGATTCTAAGGGAGAGAAACTCACGGCTAGGGAAGTGTTTGTGGTGTGTTGTGTTGTGAATGAGATGATTTTTGAATGAATGAATGCAAGGGTATTTATAGGAGGAGTGGAGATGTATATGGCTATTTGTTTAAGGTGTTTGTGGTTGCAATGATGAAGAATTGCATGTGGAAATAAAAGGGAAAATGTGGTGAAATGATGAAGTAGGAAGGTGGAAATGCATGTGAGATGTTGGAAAGGAAATGAGAATATGAGTAGGCCATGACATGTGAGTTGTTTTGTTGGTGTAAATGTGCCATGGTTGCAATGATGAAGAATAAAGGGTGCATGTGGGGTGGAATTGAATGAATGAAAAGTGAATGAATAATGAAGTGAGTTAAAGAGGGAGAATGTGGTGAAATGATGAAGTAGGAAGGTGGAAATGCATGTGACTTGTTTGTGGAATAAAGAATGAATGGTGGAATGATGAAGAGTTGCATAAAGAATGCATGTAGGGTTAGCTAGGTTGGCTTTGTTTGGGTGCATGTGTGTTAATGGTGGTTTTGCATGTGAATTGATGGATTGTTTTTGATGGAATGGATGGTTCTTTGCATGGCTTTTGAAGTGATTGTGGGCTTTGGAATTGGAAGGAAATGCATGACCTTGGGGTTGGTTTAAGAGAGAATGGGCTAGGCCCTTTGTTTTATGTCCAAAATGAATACAAGGCCTTCAAATTCGTCCAACACTTTGGCTCCAATCATATGCTATCCATTCCAAGCCCAATTTTGCTCCAAAATGCTCCAAAATGCATCTTTTTGCTTCCTTAGCCATATGAACCTAAAAACACACGAAAATGGCTTAAACTACTAAAACAACTATGAATTAACAACATAGATGCACGAAAACAAGCTAAGTAAGTCGCCTAAATATGCTCCTATCACGGTGATGATGTGCACCATGGCGTCGGCACCACTACTATGCGGAGGTGGAGATTGGTGTACTGGCAGATCGTGAGTTTAGTCCCTGTAGTTTGAATGATGTTCCACGTTGATGACGACATATTTTCGGTTAATTTAACCCCTGTATTTTTGCATTCAAAGGCAATGGTTATATTTTGACAAATTTTTTCGACTTAATTAGCTCGCAAATGATATATGACAGGGTAAAACAACCTTCGTTCGTCGGTTGGTTAGCCAGACAGACGAATCTAATATTGTGCGTATGTCATGAACCTTGACCCTGCTGAGATTTTTAGTGCAAACCTGGGATGCTGTTTGCTACCGGGTTTTATGAGGTAGTTTATGCTGAAGAGTTGTTCTGTAGAATGTCTCGAATGCTCGATGGAGAAGTCATGGGGCTGCTACTTCAGGTTATCTCGATTGTCTGGACTCGTGCAGTTCGGCTTGATTATGTACTTGCTTGGTGTACTACTGGTCCTGTCATCTCCGAAGCGCTAGCTTCTACATTTCCTATGATCGTCTTGAATCCTTACGTGCGCTGCATACAGTGGATGAATGATTTTAAGGCATTTCAATAGAGATCACTTGTACACTTCTGCTTTGACTCAGAGGCTTTCCCCGTGTTGGATGACATGTATAAGAAGCTGCCGTCCGTTGGAGTCTCTGCCGCCTTTTGTGCTGGAACGGAGGACTTCTTCTTTAACGCGGTTGAAGCATGCGTTGTGTATGTGCAGGCCTGATGTGGACAAGATATGGGCAGAGAGGCCGACGCTAGAGCGAGCAATGCAGGAGGGAGAAGACATACATGTTAGATGAGGACGATGAAGTCGAAGAGGAAGACGAGAGAACTACCAAAGATTTAGGACATGATTTGTGAAGGACTTTGAGATGTTATCGGTACTCCAAAAAAGCCACCTCCCAGAGGTGCAATTCCATCATATTTTTTTATAAGCGAGGAGTGCATGATGACTCTTTTCGAGTGCAAAACAGTTCGGCCCTAAGCGTGGGATACTGCGTACGGATCTAGTACCACTAGTCTGGTACCCGATACCAGCAACCTACCAATTATTGTCAGAACTCAGAAGGATGAAATCACATTCATATAAGCGCACGGTCCGTACAAAATCTCATCACATGAATGCTAAAAAATGTACATCCCCTTAGGCCTCAGAAACATTTACAAACTGACTGCTCATTATCCAATCAGTGCAGCAATTTACGCTCCTAACAGTGCTTCTTGCTCATCTGTTTTGCAATCTTACATTGGAAATCTTCGCTTCAACGCATCCTCAACCCCAAAACGTTCCTTACCATCACTGCCTTGTGCGAATCTCACATGCAACATGCCATCGTTTGTGCTCACAAGCATAACTTGCAGATGAAAATTAGAAGCGGAGGCCACTTTTGTGTATCGGAGAGTGAGTACATGATTCCTTTTGTTTCCATGAATCCAAGGGAAGCCGCCTTCATCTACAAGGATCTTGACCTGGGGATCAACCACAATGGGAAGGCAAGCCATTCTGAGGGAAGAGTCTATGGAATCAGGTACTTCAAGGATAATTTCCATCGATTGGTGCGTATTAAGACCAACATCGATCGGGGTAATATATTTAGGAATGAACAAAGTATCCCAACTCTTCCATTCTAGAGAAAGTAGATAATATGCAGCTAGCATGGTAAAAAGCACCTTCCTGTATTAATTTCGGATCAAGCTATTGATTAGGAAAACATTTCTTCAAAGTAGCAAAAGAAACAAAAAGGAAGAAATTAACTAGTAGAAAGTAAATCTCATTGCTGTAAACCTATTTCCCTTGCAATGTTTCGCTACAACTTGTGCCAAATTTACAAATTATGTAGGTTCTAGGATTTCCGACAATTATAATTCAAGATCCAAACTCAAACTGCTTAGTCAAAATGACAACTATAAAGATTACCAAGAATCTCTCTGAGAAAATGAGAAAAGAAGTTTTATAGTATACCATCCACCGCCGGACCAGCAACCCTTCTGTAATAAACATCAGGCATGTCTTTGCTCTTCTGAGTTAACCACTCCCAATGTCTACCGAATCTGCCTTATCATGATGGAATGATTTGTGCTTACAGAAAGATGATACCAAACATGCGATTAATCCAGAAAGAAGGGGCAGAGCAAGGGTAGCACGGAAGGGATATCAATTCAAGAAATGCAGATGTCGTTCATTCACCAAAGCAGACGACCTTTGTCCAATAACATTGCATTGCGTCGAGCAGTAAATTCTCCCCTTTATGATCTGAATATCCCGGATTCCAGGAAGCAGATGTTTTGAAGATTATCTAAAATCCATCCTAAGAGGCTCTGTCACATATTTATGTACAGAAGTGTCCCTTGGGTCAGTACATGACCAAAACAGTTAGAATAACATTATCTTTTCAAAGAGATTTTCGGACCAAAGAAAAGGGTATCTTTACTAAGCTAGCTTATATTGACTTCATAGCATCCTTCATAATGAGGCTAGATTCGGTGTGTTTTCAGACTAAATCAATGAGATGATGGTAAGTCCAGGTTTTGTTTTCTCTAACCTCAGGTTCAAGTGAGGAGAATGCTGCTTCACAGTTTCTAAGGAACTGTCCCTTCCCAAAGGTGGTGAGAACCAGGGGATCGGTATTCATTTCCACAGATCTTTGGAGCAAGCCCTTCTTTTTCCATGCATCTAAAGTCCCAGACCCGTCATAGCCAATCATATTTGCATCAAATAGAATTCCAACTGTGATAATATCTGGCTTCACACCCTGGGTTAGTAATTGAGAGAGCAAGATCCTCAAGTGTGTGAAATCTTTCATCTTCAAATAAGCTAACATGATTGTGTTTGCAACTGTTGCATTCCACGGGGCATTTTCTTCTTTCATCTCTTGGACAATGGAATCCATTCCTCTTCGACTAAGAAGTCCAGCATGAGACAGCAGACGCAGACACCAAACTAGATCAGTCTGACCAAATCTTGAAGAAATATCAACTCCCAAATTCTCTAATCTCGAAAACTTATAGTTCTTGATATAAACTTCAGCTAGTTTCCTAATTAAGTCATCCTTTACAAGTGTTCTGGAGTTCAACAGTCTCATATAAACCTTTTCCATCTTATCCAAGATCCCAAATTTTGCATAAACCTCAAGCATTGCAATCAAGGTAGAAGACTGCAAAATGATTCTCTTAGAAAGCATGGATTGATACACACTTTCCATTCTTTTGAGTAACCCGCCCCTTGAAAACTCTCGAATAAGCAAATTATATGTAATGTGGTCAGGTGGGCAGCCATTTAGTTTCATTTTCTTCACGCACATACCCATCTCATCATACATTTTATACTTCCCATACGCTTCAATAAGCCCATCATAAGTATCAGTTTCTGGCGCCACGTTCATTTCTCTCATCTCGCTAAGGTAAAACAAAGCATCATCAAAGTTTCCTTGTCTGGCAAAACCATGAATCATTGAATTGTAAACCTCCAAAGATGGCCTAAGATCATGACTCTTCATCTCTTGAAAGCATGGGGCAGCCTCTTCCATGAGGCCCTCTTCACTTAACAACCCTATTATCTTGCTGTAGTTGAACTCATTAATCCGCGATTTCTCGATCTTCTTCCACATCTCAAACAACTGTTCAAAGTTTCCAAAGCCACCATTACAATAAGAAACATAGGAAATTGTCCAAAAAACTACTCGTCATGATGCTCTGTTTGGATGGTCAGAAAAATATAAGAAAACCAATGAACGGAAGGTAAAAAAACATTATCCAAATAAAAAATGCTTAATTCCTAAAAACTCAATTCATTTTTCCTAAAAACCCAATATTCAAATTACAAATCCAGTAGTTATTGGAATAGCAACAGAGAGAGAGAGAGAGAGAGAGAGAGAGAGAGAGAGAGAGAAACCTGAAGAATTTCCTTGGACCTGGAAACATTGTTGAGGAATGTGATGACAGCCCAAAATTGGTCTTTGGTCCAATCACCATCATCTGCAAGCAATTGTAAAGGGCAACAGTCCTCGGTGGTGACCTTCACAAGTAAGTCTTTGAGCCTCTGGTGTTCATGGAAAGTCTCCACAAGGAGGGTGGTGTGCTTTGTAGAACCACCGCGTGGGGCGGCTACATTTGGTTGAGGAAATGGGTGGGAATAGCAAAGAGAAGAAGGGAATGGTGTTCTGGGTTTGGGGGAGGGTTTTGTGGTTAGGGTTCTGGGGAAGAGGAAGCTGTTGGTACTGTGATTAAGCTTCCATGTCGGTGGTATTAGGCAATGGATACGATGCAGGGGCACAACACTCTCCATCTTCCAATCTGGTTGCTTCCTAGGGTTGCCTCTCGTTCCTCCCTTCCATTTTTTTATTTATTTTTGTTTGGGGTGCATTTCAATCATTTTCAAAAATTAGCCAGGACGGTTTTAATTTTCTCACGTTACAATCTATTCTTTCAAAATTTGATCTATTTACATTTTATATATATAGGATGATAGTTTGGTCAAATGTTAAATATTGATGTGGTAATGTGAGACGTTAAACAATAATTTTCACACTCTCGTTTCGTCATCTTTCGTTCTTTCTCTTGCTTATAATAATCACAAATAATATATACTTGCACACCTATATATATCAAGTTTTTTTTTTTTTTTTTCAGATTTTACTTTCAATTTACTAAGAATTAATTTTAAAATATTTTTACCAAAATCATTTTTACTTATTTTAAAAGCACTTATAAATAGACTCTTATTTCTTGATTCTCTTCTAACTTATTCAACGGAAAGCAAAAAATAACATGAAGGAGTAGGGTAATAAATAGAAGTGTGAAAATCTTGATAACTTCAAGAAAAAAGTGGACCGATCAAATATCAGACCGTGGATAACCGTGGCAGCATCCACCGCAGTCGTCGCAGCATCCACCACAATCAAAACGGACGAAGATACAGCAACAACTGTTATTATTTTGTTCTTGTCTGCTTCATGTACTTCCACACCCACTCGATAAGCAGCAGTATGAGCATTTCGTCGTCCCAATATCATTTTCTTTGCTCTTCTTCTTCTTCTCGCCATCTTTCTCCTCCTTTTTCGACTTGCCAAAAAGTCTCTTACTTTCAGTCGTCGTACTTTTACTTTGTTGCGGCTTGTCAACCGTGTCTAAACCCTCAATCGTGTCTCCTGTATTCTTTCGTTTAGGCATAGTTTCTGATGGCTTCTTCATGATTGGTTTTTTTCTGGATTACATAGTGATCGCATAATTGACACAGATTATATTGAAAGTTTTTGTCATGATGCAGGCAGGGACTTGAAGATATTGTCCAGAGATGGTCGCATGATCTTTATGTCAATTATGTCACAGTGTGTGAGTTTACTTGCTTGGAGTAGAGAATCCTATTGCCAACTTAAAACTTTTAATACAATCAAGGGATTATTATTGAAGCATTTATCTTGTTGCACGCGTAAATTGTCCACGATCAAATATGAACGTGTAGCTATAAAGATGGTGTGAAATATAATCAATATCATTTCAATGTAAGCAAGGAATAGAATTCTCTCTCCTCCAAATTCTGCTCCCCTTTAGTCCTCTCCGAGATTTATAGTGATGCTTATTCATCAGGTTTGGGTTGCATGTTGATGCAGCATAGAAATGTCATCGCATATGCTTCGAGACAGCTTAAACCGCATGAAAGAAATTATCCCACCCACGATCTTGAGCTGACGGCAGTGGTGTTAGCACTAAAAATATGGTGACACTGTCTATATGGTGAGAAATGTCATATCTTCACAAATCACAAGAGTCTGAAACATGTATTCACACATAAAGAGCTTAACATGAGACAAAGGAGATGGATGGAGCTTATCAGTGATTATGATTGTATGATAGAATATCATCCTGGGCATGCTAATGTTGTAGTTGATGCGCTTAGCCGAAAATGTTATAGGTAGCTTGCCTCTCTTCGTGCCGTGCATGTTATTATTTTCTCTTTGGGGGATTGGTATTTCCCTGACGCATGATCCGCATGGGGTGATATTGGCTCATCTACAGGTTTGATCGATGTTTGGAGATTTAATTCGAGAAGCTTAGGAGCAGGATCAGTAGTGCGCAAAACTGAAAGAGCAAGTGCAGAATGGGCTGAGACGGGATTTGAGAATCCGTAAAGATGGGATGTTAATGCATGGGAACATGGTATTTGTGCCTAGAAATAATGAGGCAGTGAAGACGGTGATCTTCAATGAAGCATATAAGTCAGCGTATGCTATGCATCATGGTAACACGAAGATGTACCACACCATTCGCCCATATTATTATTGGTATGGTATGAAACGAGATATCACCGACTATGTGAGGAAGTGTATAGTTTACTAGCAGAACCTTCTGATTCCCGCCTGGAAATGGGAAGATATTACGATGGACTTTGTTTATGTGTTGCCGAAGATTAGGTCGAAATTTGATGGCATCTGGGTGATCGTGTACAAATTGACTAAATCTGCTCACTTTATAGCCGTCTAGCAAAACTATAAACTAGAAAAATTAGCAAAGTTGTTTATTGAGAACATTGTCAAGTATCACGGCATACCGGTTACTATTGTATCGGATCGAGATCCGAGGTTTACTTTCAGATTTTGGAAGGCACCATGGATACTATATTATTGTACAACATTGCTTATCACCCGCATAAGGATGGCCAATTTGAAAGAACGATATAGACTCTTGAAGATATATTGAGAACTTGTGTACTTCAGTGGAAAGGTAGCTAGGATGAATATTTGTCTTTGGCGGAGTTCGCATATAATAACAGCTATCACTCGAGTATCAGTATGGCACCTTTCGAGGCACTATACGGCAAAGTGTGCAGGACACCACTATGTTGAACCGAAGTTGGCGAATGTGTGTAAGTGGGACCAAGGATCGTGGATACTACAAATGCCTAACATTCTGCTGATAAAGAAGAATTTGAAGTCTGCCCAAGATCGACAGAAAAGTATTGTCGACAAACATTCCACGGACTGAGAATATGCAGTTGGTGACTTTGTATTTCTGAAGTTGTCGCCTTGGAAGGGTGTTGTCCGTTTTGGCAAGCAAGGAAAGTTAAGTCCTCGATATATCAGCCCTTACCGAATTTCGAAGAGAATCAGCAATATTGCATACCGGTTGGAGTTACCCCCAAAGCTGTCGCAGATACACAACGTATTCCACATCTCTATGTTTCAGAAATACATACCAGATCCATCACACATCCTACAGCCGCAGCCACTGGAAGTGAGACCAGACATGAGTTATGTAAAGGAAATAATGGCGATTCTTGATCGACAGGATAATGTATTAAGGAACAAGGTTATTCTGCTGGTCAAAGTCTTATGGAGGAATCACGCAATTGAGGAGGCAACGTGGGAGACTGAAGAATTAATGCGTGATCAGTACCCTTTCCTATTCACTTGAGGTAATGAAATTTCAGGGACGAAATTTTCTTAAGGGGGTAGGTTGTAACGACTTAATTTCAAAAATTATGTTTTAATTAATTGAAATTACAAAAATACCCCTAACTATGTGAAGGTTGACTTTAGTTGACCTTGTCCGATGGCACGTTAGAAATTTTCTTTTATTTTATTTTCGTAGGCCCGATCGGAATCGAATTTGACGTTAAAACGAAGCTTGTATGAATTTTTGAATGTAAGGGCATTTTAGTAATTTCACAAGTGGAGATTTTTCCCCACTTTGGACCTCTATATGGTAGACACATGGCAACACCCCCCCAATTTCTGGGGTGTTTGTCACATCCCGGCCCTGGGTCCACCACATCCCGGGCTCGCTCCATCACCGTAACACAATATTGTCCGCTTTGGACCCCGACCACGCCCTCACTATTTTGTTTCTGGGAACTCACACGAGAACTTCCCAGTGGGTCACCCATCATGTGAGTGCTCTCGCACGCTACTCGCTTAACTTCAGAGTTCCTATGGAACCCGAAGCCAGTGAGCTCCCAAAAGGCCTCGTGCTAGGTAGGGATGGGAATATACATATAAAAATCACTCCCCTGGGCGATGTGGGATCTTACAATCCACCCCCCTTAGGGGCCCAATGTCCTCGTTGGCACACCACGGCCAGGGTTAGGCTCTGATACCAAATTGTCACATCCCAGCCCGGGGTCCACCACATCCCAGGCCCACTTCACCACCGTAGCACGATATTGTTCGCTTTGAGCCCCGATCACGCCCTCACGATTTTGTTTCTGGGAAATCACACAAGAACTTTCTAGTGGGTCACCCATCATAGAGTGCTCTCGTGCGCTACTCGCTTAACTTCGGAGTTCCCATGGAACCTGAAGTCAGTGAGCTCCCAAAAGGCCTCATGCTAGGTAGGGATGGGAATATACATATAAGGATCACTCCCCTGGGCAATGTGGGATCTTACAGTGTTTTTCTTTCCCCTTCCCGTGACCCTTTTCATTCTCTATCTAGAACTCTCCCTCACTATTTCTTATCTCTCTTTTGTTTCTCCTCTCCATCAAGTCAAGCGCACACACACACACACCCTTACTTACATTTAGATCACTCACCATCACTACCATCTCTAAGATCTAGACACAAATCTCAAGCAAATATCCATATCTTTTTCCTCATTTTCGACTACACAGTAAAGTTCACTGTTCTTGTACTTTTCACGGCGAATCTTCGCCATTTCCGGGGCAGGTAAGTTTCTACAACTCTCTAGTTTATGTTTTAGGTTAGATTCGGTTGATTCTGAGAACCTTGGAATGTTTGGATGCAGAAATATCTTGGGGGAAACATTTATTAGTTTTTCAGCAAAAGACAGTGAGTTGCAGGCCATTTTTCGACAGATCCCAACGTCAACACAACATCATCTTGGTACGACTCGAATCCTCACTCTTCTAGCTTCATTTTAGTTTTTGAATGGCGAGTTTTGGTTAAGTTTTGACCCCAAAACAGAGTTGGGGAGATTTCCCAGCCAAAACTCCGGCCTTCTAAGTTGTTGGTCTGGCGACTCGTGAGTGGGAACCAGGCCAAGCCCAAACTCTTGGCTAGTGTAACTCGGCTCAAACCCAGGCACAACCTAATCTGAACCCAAATCCAATTTGAGCCCAATTCTTTGGGCCTAAACCAAAGCCCAAACTCGAATTGAGAACTGGCCCAACCCAGAAACCCAGTTCCATAGTAAGCGCGTGGGTGCGCATAGAGCACATGCGCCTTCGCCAGAGGTACTGTGCTCCACCCCCGGTAACTTTTCCGGTGACCCATCTCGGTGCGTGCGGCGGCACGTAGGGGTACCTGAGGTCGTGTCGAGTCCAAATTTGTTGTTCGTTTCCTGAAATTCGACCGTTTTAGTAGAGTTTTATTAAATGTACTCTCTTTGTGTTTAGGTGCAATGATTGGAAGCGATCCAGTCCATCCTAGTTCGAGCGGCTCTCCGA